TGAGCATGTGCAGTGCACATTTGCACAACATATATACACTAGAGAATATTATAAGCACTTGTAAAATTTGGAAATATTGTCATATACAAATTCATGGCCCATTGCCAAAAGACTCGAAAATAAAAACCCAACAAAAATATTTATAAATTCTATACAATCACTTTGATGTATAAAGATCTTTGCAAGTAGTACATTTGCTATTTCCTTAATATAACCATTGGCATGACAAAACTTTCAATTCCCTATAAAAATAATTTACTTCAACTATGATGGTTCCACACTATTCTGTCAAGGAGAACAGAGAGGAGAGAGCAGAGAGATGAAGAGAGGGAAGATGGGGAGAGAGAGGAGGAAGAAGAGGATGGGAGATCACCGGCACCCTCACCGGGGACGAGCTCCCTCCGCAGCCTCTGCTCCTCATGGCATGTGGCGGCAGGTGGGACGTCGGCCGTCTCTACACATCCCCACACGACGCACGCGACAGGTAGGATGAGGAAGAAAGGAGAGGGGAGAGAGGAGGAATGAGAGAGGATGACATGTGGGGCCTACGTGGGCCCCACATTTATTATTATTTTGTGTGCTGCTCACATGTGGGCCCACTGTTTTTATTATTTTTCTAGGATCGAATTACCACCTAAGCGCCACACCAATGCACGTGTCACGAAGACCTAGTCAAACCAACCAAGTAGGCGCCACGTTAGCCAAAACCACCGAGAAATCATGTTTACACTGATTTTGATAGTGACCAGTTATATCTGGTTTTGGGTTAAAGATGAAAATGGGATTCGGTCTAAAGTTAACACTGGTAGAGAAACCATCTTTGGTCGGTCGACCCAAATCCATAATAGTCCCGGTTCCATTAAAAACCGGGACTCATTTTTAGTCCCGATTAATAAGAGGAAGATCTTTAGTCCCAGTTGTTGTTACCAACCGGGACTAAAAATCATCTTTAGTCCCGGTTGGTAACTCCAACCCGGACTAAAATTCATTTTTAGTCCCGGTTGATTTCATGTCAGGCCGTGTCAGGGCTCTAGGATCTTTAATCCCGGTTAGTAACACCAATCGGGACTAAAAACGTTCCGATTGGTGTTACTAACCGGGAATAAAAATCAAAACACACTATATAATCTATAGTACCGATCATCTTTTCCCGTCCACATAACAAACTCCTTCCTCTATCTCTTTTTTTTCCTCTCTAACTTCTTATCTCTTTCCTTATCTCTAACTCCCCTCCTCTCCTTCCTTTTTTCCTTCACCACACAGTGAAGAAGCGTGCAGGAAGCCGGCGCGGCGGCTGCGGCGGGCGGCCAGCGCGGCGGCGCCGAGGGCCATGCGGAGGCGGCCTGCACGGCGGCGCGGGGGGCCGCACGGTGGCGCGGAGGGGAGGAGGGGAGGCGGCAGTGGCTGCTGGCCGAATTGTTTTTTCTTTTTTTTTTTGAGATGTGAATCTGTGATGTATTTTTGTGTGAGATGTGAATCTGTGACGAATTTTTTAGAACCCTGTGATGTAATTTTTTTAAGAGTTTGTGATGTATTTAGAGATGATATATTTTTTTAAGAGTTTGTGATGTATTTGGAGATGATTTATTTGAGAATTTGAGGATTTGGAGATGTTCTGTGATATGTGATGATTTGGATATGGGAGGGGATGATGTGAAATCAATATTCAATATTAAAAACAGAAAAAAAGAAAAAATATCTTTAGTTCCGGTTGATGTTACTAACCGGGACTAAAGATGCTCCCCACATCAACCGGGACTAAAGATGGGGATTTTAGTCCCGGTTGGTAACATCAACCGGGACTAAAGATCGATTTTTAGTCCCAGTTATTTGAACTGGGACTAAAGATAGCGATCTTTAGTCCCGGATTCGTAGTCCCGGTTAGAAAACCGGTACTACAAGGGGGTTATAAACCGGGACTAAACAACACTTCTCCATACCAAATGAACTTATTCCTTTCTCCTGTTCACATCGAAGTCGCGCCTGTGCATCGCGAGCTCATGAGTCATGCACGAGTAGTTCACGACCGGCTGAATTCCAAGACTCGGATTCCTCGTCTCCCCTCTTTAACCTGAAACTAAGATGTGTTTCCTGCGACCCTTCTCAGAACCTGATTAGTTCCCACGCAGAAACTTTTTATTCCGTCATATTAAATGTTTAGACACATGCATAGAGTATTAAATATAGAAAAAAACTAATCACGCTGATTGCGTGTAAATTGCGAGACGAATCTTTTAAGCCTAATTGCTCCATGATTTGATAATGTGGTGCTACAATAAATATTTGCTAATGACGGATTAATTAGGCTTAATAAATTCATCTCGCAGTTTACAGACGGAATATGTAATTTGTTTTGTTATTAGTCTATGTTTAATACTTCAAATGTGTGTCTGTATATCTGATGTGACACGCCAAAACTTTTCGTTCGCAAACTAAAGAAGGCCTCATTCTCTTATCCATCCAAATGATGCTCTCTCCTCTTCCACCAACAACAGCAGTCTGCAGCTCATAGCTGCCATTCAACAATGGAGATCTTTCTATCCTCTTATGTTTACTTACTGCTGGTCAGTCAGGATATAGGTATATCAATGCATCTGCTTCTTTCGGGCTCCATCCTTTTTATTCGCTGGCTGATTTGGTTTCTTGCACACTACCCAATTTCAATCCACAAAGAAGGCTCTGGTAGCTAATGAATTTCTTTCTTTTATTATAGACACTTGCCTGACAAGATTGCAAGACTCCAGTGTATAAACATGTGCAGGTCATTGCAGTAGCACTCAAAGATGAGTTTTATATAGGAACAAACATGATCAAGGTGAGTATATATTTTTCTAAAATCATCTCAGAATGTCAATTTCAAGGAGAATAATATTCTTCAGTTTTCTGTCCAGTATCTAAGCATCTCCCTAAAATTCGTCATGAATGAATTGGCTACAGCAGTGGCAAAAGGGTTCGACCATGAAAATTGTTCTTCTTATTTTATTAATTGTTTTTATAACCTACCTTTCTCTAGGATATTTTCATTTTTCACTTTGTAATGTGAAGCAAAGTCAGGTAGCGGTCTCAATAGCACAAATCTATTTATCTATAATAGCTGAAAAATATCATCTGTAATGACTTAGGCGTCCGTTATAGTACAATAGGTACATAATGTGACATGTCATCTGTAACGGTTGGTCGACCATTACAGATGTGTGTCATATGTAACGGCTCGGAACCATGAGTCGTTATAGATGTAAAAATAATTAGGCAAAAAAAATTACGGTTCACATCTTGTGAACCGTCATAGATAGCCCGTTACAGTTGTGAGAATCTGCTAGTGTCTATTGGTGGTCTTTTTTTTTATTAATGTTCTCAATCTGTCAATATAGTCGGCACTAGCGGGCATGATTCGCCAGCAAGCGTGATTATTCAATGTACAGAACGCACCAACTGAAGAAGAGAATGAGCTGTTTGGTCCAGTCAGTCTCATGCTCCCATTGACACAAAGTTTATTGCATTGTATAATTATTTACCGCTTTCATCCAAATGTTCTCTGAAAAGAAGATCTAAGTGCATGCTATCTTTATCTGTTGTCCAATTACATATATGTACACATGAATATCTACAAATCTCCGTTTAATGCGTGGTATATCGTCTAATTCTTTTATAAGGATAACGACCCTCCAAAATTTCTTATTTTTCTTTCAATCCAAAGGAGGCACAAAAGGGCAGAAAGAGCTTTTGGTGTCATTGGAAAAAAAAACTATTTCAATAGGTTTGACGACCCCACTTAGATTTTAATTGAAAGGAGTCATACATAGACCCATTTTGGAAGCTTAATTAATATTCTAATAAGCAACTGGTTGGTATTTAGCTTTTAAGAGTTTCAAAACACTAGGTATCCCAAATTTTAACTTCTAGTCTATTTCATAGATTTTGTAGCTACGTATTTTGAGAAGCTAGGTAAAAATCGGAAGTGTTGAAGCCGAAGAATTTGAGGTGTTATGTTTTTTCTTAAGCTTATGTTTCCCAGCCAAAATTTGAACATATATATAAAAGTTTTATTCACAAATTATTTTTCGTTTGCAAATATGTCGTACCACGAATAAACCCAAGGCATGGGGGCTTTGAGACAAGTTGCTAAAAGCTGCCTTAAACAGGTCCATAAGTCATATAGAAGACCAATATGTAGGATTTGGGGGGGTGCCTGCAAATCAGGCGCCCGATTTTTTTTCCAAAATCGGATGCTGTTTCACCAAGTAGATAAAAAATGTTTCACTAAATAGGTTAAAAATGTTTCAGTCTTTTAAAAAGCAAAAACACAACCAAATCACCTTATGAAACATTTTGCTACAGCGTATGAAATAACGGTTTCCAAAAAAATCGGATGTTGTTTCACCCTATATAAAAATAATGTTTCAAGTTTCAACAAATAACGAAACGATGTTTCAAATCTTAAAAAAATGTGAAACACGGTCAGATCGTTAGATGAAAAAATTTGGTTCAACATATACAACAAACGATTTAAAGCCATTGCAACACTTAAACCCATGTATATTAACAAACCACGTGTCCATCAAGATGAAATTATTAAACATTATCAAAAATCTGCTGTAACATTTGATCCATACATAGTGAAACATCATAAGAACACTAGCTGAAACATTGTTGGTAAAAAAATGAAACAGATCCTCCTTAATAGGGCGTTTCCGTTATATCTGGATGGCTGTTGCAAAAGACGCGTGGTGGGGCATGCGAGCGTGGGCTGCGCGGGGCGCCCAATCTTTTTGGGCACCCGAGCACTGGCAATTTCGAAGATTTGGTGAGTGGTTATTCATTCAAAATCCTAAGGATCTTGCAATAACGAAATCATGTGGAATAGAACCCTCCAAAATCTCATAAATGTACTCCAATTAACAATAATAGTACATCACAGAGTCAATCAGTGGTGCTAGTACAGTAACATTTTCAATAATAAAAATAATACAAGAAAACTCCTGTAATAAAGCACACCTATATCACTACATGTAACCACTTAAGCAAGCAGGTGAGCACTGCAAAATCGCCAATCCCAACCGCGCCACTGTCGGTGTCGGCATCGGCGCTGGAGGACCTCGAGCTCGAAATCTTGCCTCCCATGGCCTCCACCTCGAGGCGGTGGTGGTGGTGGCCGTGGGCGACGCCGCCGCCCTTCTCCTCCTCCGCCTCGCGGCACCACAAGGGGGAGGGGTGGGGGCTGGGCGGGCCCGCGCTGGTGAAGGCCGTCGGGTGGCTCCTCCTCGCCGGCCTCCTCTTCCGTGTGCTCTGCTCCTTCCCCTCCTCCACCTCTTCGCCGGAGATCAGCGAAGGTGCGAGCTCTCTCGTTTCCTGATCTTGAATGCGGATGCAGTGGGAAAGGGGATTGGGAGGGTTTAATGCTGTCGGTGGGTTTGGGGGGCCTGCGAGATTCGGTGCATTTCGACATATTTTGCTGTTGTTGGAGCGAACATTAGTGGTTTTCTTGGGTGTTCTTCGGTTCCATGCCTCCACGAGTTAGAGATTTTGATGCCACTTGAATCTTGCTGCGGGTTGGACCAAATGATTAGTCTGAATTTGTTTTGTTCCGTTCATCCTATCTCGTGGAATGGCGTGCAAATTTTGTTTTGCTGTGTTAGTAGGAAAACATTTCGAATTGGTGAACGCTTTTTTCTTTTTTGTTTCTCAAATTCTGGGTAGCGCTTTTTCCGGCGGGTTTGGTGGGGAAAGCTCCGAATAAACTTTCTCTGATGGAGCAGTTTGGCAGTTACAGATCTCATGCTTGTGCAATTGCGATTGGACTTTTCTTTTTTCTTATCCTCCAAGTGGAAATATTTAATCTCTTCTCTATGGAAGACTAGAGATTCAGTTCTTTTTATTCTTTAAGAACCAGAAATCTCGAAAACAATATTTCCTTTATATACGTTTGCTTCGTATGGGGAAGACAAATAAGAAAGCTGTCTGTTTTGATCTTGTCAACCACTGCTTAGTAAATATCTGTGCAAAGAATATAAATATGCCCTTCAAATGTAGCCAGTAAATTAGTTCTTCAGCTAAAACATGAAACAAAATTAACTCTTCTGTTCATCTGTCATATGCAAATGTTGTCTCACTACTTTTAGTTCCTATCCTGTACTTATTCACATTATTTGATTTGTTATATTGTCCTAAGTGGGCTTCTGCAATTTTAAATTGTACTGTCTATTTTTATGAGAATGATACTATTCGTAGTAATCTTGAAATTTTTTTAGTTCTTGTTGCATATTATTCCCATTAGAAATCACTTGGTAGGATCTCAGTAACACGTAGAATGCCCATCCACAGTCAACCATGCATTTACTCACGGCATGTTGACTTTTGACATATGTGAGTGGTAATTTGTAAACAATTGGCTGTAGCAGAATTTGCTTATCTTGACAAGCTGGAGCAACTAAAGTACTGGTCGTTAAGGAAGGATTGTGGCTATGGTGCCAAGCATGTGTTGCTTCTCCAAGTTTTCTTTTGGTTGTGACTGAATAGTTAGGATGTAATATTTATGGAAATAGTTTTGATGGCAAATTTGTATGAATGAACACTTGAAGCACAAATGACAAACTTCTTAAACTCTTTCACTAGTTCGAATGGGTAAATGAGAAAAGTGGCTGATCTATATATCCACAATTTCCTGAAACCTAAAATGTAGTAGTATTTTGTGAACATTGTGAGTCCTCAACTATTCAAGTATTCATTCACAAGTTCAAGACCTGCTATTGTACCAACCTAATTCCTGTGATAAAGATCTGCCTTCCCACTTTTGTTCCAACAACAAACAGATATTTTGTTGAACTGGAAATAGTTGATGTTTTATGAATCTATTACTGCTTGTGTATCTAAAAGAAGATTTTAGGGCTACTTTCCACCACAGTACGTTTAGGATACTTGACATAAGAAACAACGTATAAATTGTGATGTTTCTTTCCGTAGTGCTCTTGTCTTGCATCTCATATAGGATATTTCTTTTGTAGGGAAATGTAACCTTTTTGATGGTGAATGGATACCAAATCCCTCTGGCCCAGCCTATACCAACAAAACTTGTCGATTTATTGATGGTCACCAGAACTGTATGTTGAATGGTAGACCTGACATGTCATATTTACACTGGAGGTGGAAACCATATGAGTGTGAACTGCCACAATTTGATGAAGTGAGATTTCTAAGTGCTATGAGGAACAAATCCTGGGGTCTGATTGGTGACTCCATTCTTCGTAATCAAGTTCAGTCACTGCTTTGCCTTTTGTCTAAGGTAAAAGTTATGAACATTACATATTTTCACTAATTCACTTTCCCAACCCTGTTATGAAGCAATGTTCATGCTTTCCTTGAATAATCATGTTCCTCTGTGCACCTTTCCTAATTCTTAAATATAACTTAATAAGGGATGATATATGATAGCAAGCAAGAATACCAGATAAGTTTCATGTTACCTTCCATGCATACTGAACATTATCCCCATTAGTGTTATACAGATAACCATCCTGAGCAGACCTGCTTGCTGTTTTATTTAGGCTGAAGAACCTATTGAAGTGTACCATGACAAGGAATACAGAAACAGGAGATGGCACTTCCAATCATACAACTTCACCGTGTCACTCGTCTGGAGTCCCTTCCTCACCAAATCTGAGGTATTTGAAAATGAGAATGGGCAATCCACCTCTGAAATCCAGCTTCACCTTGACATACTTGACCCAATCTGGACAAGTCAGTATGAGACCTTCGACTATGTTGTTATTGCCGGTGGACAATGGTTTCTCAAGGTCGCGGTCTACTGGGAGAATGATAGGGTGATAGGCTGCCATTACTGTCAGGACAAGAAGTTACGTGAACTTGGATTTGAACACCTCTATCGCAGGACTCTGCAACAAATCTTCAGATTCATTGCATCTTCAAACCACAAACCAGCTGTTCTCTTCAGGACTTGGGCACCCGATCACTTCGAGAACGCGGAATGGTTCAACGGGGGAACTTGTAGCCGGGTTTTGCCTTACAAGAAGGGAGAGTACAGCGGAAAAGACATGGATCGTATCATGAGACCAATTGAACTTGAGGAGTTCAGGAATGCCATGGCGGCACTAGGTGGTTCGCGGAACTCTGCGAATCTGAAGCTCTTGGATACCTACAGCATTTCGTCCATGAGACCTGATGGCCATGTTGGGCCTTACAGGTATCCATTCCTGAAAGGTGACAAGGATGCCAAATCAGTTCAGAATGATTGCCTGCATTGGTGTGTACCAGGCCCTATCGACGCTTGGAATGATCTCGTTATGAAGATGGTATTGGGCTGATGAAGCCTCTGAGATAATACTGAAAGAGTAAAATGCACCAGCGGTCCTTAAACTTGTCAAGAGGTTTCACTTAGGTCCACGAACTTGCAAAGCGCACATCGAGGTCCCTAAACTTGGTTTATTATATCATCCTGGTCTAAAGCCACGTTTGACCGTGGTCTTGTCTACGTGGCATGCCACGTGGACGATGACATGGATTTTTTGAAATTTTTTCTCCCTCCTTCCTTCTTTTTTTTCTCTTTTATGAAAAGACGATGACATGGATGACGTGTACAAGGCATTTTCGTCTTTTCGACAAGGAAGAAAGAGAAAAAAAGAATTAAGAAGGGAGAAAAAAATAAAAAAATTCCATGTCATCATCCACATGGCGTGCCACGTAAGCAAGATCGCGGTTAAACGCGGCTTTGGACCGGGATGATACAATAAACCAAGTTTAGGGACCTCGATGTGCGCTTTGCAAGTTCGTGGACCTAAGTGAAACCTCCTGACAAGTTTAAGGACCGCCGGTGCATTTTACTCATACTGAAAATGCAGGGTTTGTTTCAAGCACATTCTGCAAATCTCGAATCAGGGTCAGTTTCCTGTGCTCGGTCGTGTACTGGTTTAACCGAAATTTGTAACTAGTAAAACCTAAATTTTGTGGTTGTAAATCATATTTCGGTTTTGGGCCGGGAAGTGGCTTATTGTTTAATGTGTGCGGCTGTAACTTTTGGAAGTCAAATCTGTTTGCCTGCTCTCATCTTTATGTGAAAATTCAGGGCATGCAGTAGGAGAAAGTTCTTTTTGATAATAACATATATCTGGTCAAAGGTTATTACAGCATTGCAACATTAAGTTGCTAAGTTGAAACAATTAAGTTCAGATGTCTTGAATCGTCCGCGATCGCTAATCGGCGCGCCACCAGCGCGCGTTTCAGGCCCATAAGGCCCAGCACCGGCGCGCGCCTCCTTCCACGCTTTTTTTTTCGTTTTTCTTTAGCGATTTTTTTCGTTTTCTTTTCCACTTTTTTCTGATTATTTTTTTAATCTTTAGCATGTTTTGAGTTTGAAAGTTTTTAAATTTTGAGTTAAAAAGTTTCAAATCTAAACTTGAAAGTTTTTAAATCTTGACTTGAAAGTTTTCAAATCTCGATTTGAAAGTTTTCAAATTTTTCAAATCTGGACTTGAAAGTTTTCGAATCTCAAAGTTGAAAGTTTTCGAATCTCGAGTTGAAAGTTTTCAAATCTCAAATTGAAAGTTTTCAAATTTTTCAAATCTGGACTTAAAAGTTTTTGAATCTAAGTTGACAGTTTTGAAAATTTGACTTTAAAGTTTAAAATTTAAATCGAAAATTTTCAAATCTAACTTAAAAAATTTTCAATCTATTAGTAAAAAAATCTTCAGAATCTTTCCTAATTACTATCATTAGTGTTAAGTATATTAACTAATAGAGGTAGTTAAATATATTAACTAATAGTGTTAATAGAGGTAGTTAATAGGGGAGAAGTGCTCGCTAGCGGCGCGCACGCGCTAGCTTGGTGCCCCCTGAATCATCTGCCTCGGCCCTCGGCAATGTCAGATTCTCAAAAAGGCTTGTAATCTGTTCATAGCAGTGCTGGTCACGTGCTTGTTGGGCCTAGGCATGCCCTTGGAAGGATAATGCCCTACTATTTTTAATGGGTCCCACCAGTATTATTCTACTCACTTTTTATTTCCTCTCTCTTCTCTGCCTTTCCCGCTAGTGGAGGAAGCTGAGGCTCCGGGCTGAATGCCGGCCCAAGCAGTGATAGCGTCCTCAAGCACAAGCGTCGGGCAAAGTAGAAGTATATAGGTAGTACGTGGTCGTCCTCACCACCAGCCTACCACCACCAACTCCATCGATTCTTCTCCGCTGCCACCACCTTCCCATCCCCATCCATGGAATAGATCGGGCGCTACAACCTCTCTTCATCAGGGCCAGAAGATGAGGACGATGGTGCCGCCGAGCTTGCTAGATCCGGCATGGGGCTCGGCGGATCTGGCCTTGAGGGTGGTGGAGTAAGAAAAAGCTGGATGACGGCATCACCGAGCTCGCCAGTTCCGCCGAGAGCACCGACTTCATTTCCCGCCACCATCTTCCCTTCTCCTCACATGTGTCTCTCCCCAGGTTGCCACCAACGCCCCGTCGAGCTCGTGGTGGTGACCTTGCTTACAACGGCCACTCGTTGGATGCCTGTCACCGCCTACATGTGTTGTGGAGGCGTCGCATGGGGCCACACCCTCTCCCAACGCACTGCTCGAGTCGTGCCTCGTCGCGCCCTAACAAATCCCTGACAAGGAACATAGGTCTCGACTTGTTTCTGCAGTCTTCACATGGTAATAGGAGAGGCAAACATGGCATGAAATCTCTTACATGAGAGGCTGGGGCTGAACGACAGTTAGGCACACTGTAAAAGCCCTAATGAACACGTAACAAATCCCCAAAGTAGTCATTTATACCAAAGCTATAAGGATTCGCTTAGGCCATAACAGAACAACCTTAGTGGAAATTCATAACTTAGCTACACTCCAAAATTCATAAATTTAGTAAGAGAAAAAACATCGACACGATTACAAATCGAGCATTTGAATTTCCTAAAAATTGAGTGTTGTTTCACTACTCGTAAAGAAAATATTTCACCCAATAGATTAGACAGTAAACACATTTAAACTATGATTGAAACATTTTGGTGTAACATATGAAACATCGAGTTTCACGCTATTAAAACACCAACAAATCCATATGAATCAATGACAATGTTATGAGACACCGTCAAAATTTTCATAACAACATTTTAATCCAATACAAAGTGAAACATCAAAAGTTCATAGCGCATCCATGCTACCGGCGGTGAGGCATCGGTGTCCATGCCGACCTCCTGGAAGAAGAGAAAAGAAGGGACGCACCACCTATATTCGCAAGCTTGACACGAAAGTCACTGCATGCTGCCGCATCCACATCATATTTTTCGACGCCGGTCACTACGCTGCTGTCGAGCGACGCCCACGGGACCAGACCTCCCTTTCCCCTAGCTTCCAGCAACACAACAACCATAGATGTTCATTTGGCTAAGTTGTCATGACAGAAGAAGAGAGAGGGAGGGAGAGAGTGAGAGAGATGGGATGAAACTAGTGGATAGGAATGAATAGATTACCGTTCATCGACTAAAACAAATCTGAGCCATCGGATTGAATCGGAGGCCTGGATGACCAGGATGTGTGTGGGTGTGGGCATCTGATTTTTGCCTAGCATAGGATGCCCGGGCGGGAGCATTCTAAAAAAAGAAAAGAAAAAAAAAGTATCTAAAGAACTTTCGTAATTTTTTTTGGGTCAAAAACTTTCAGACGTAACTAAAGTATAATTAAAATGTAATTATATTTTAACTGCATTGTAACTATAAGTGTAACTACGATATTACTATGTGTAGATAGCATTGGGTTTTTATGTGTAACATGTATAAAAATTTCTTTCTAGCAATTTTCTCTCTTAATGCATAGAATAAATCTCGAGGTGATCCGATGTTTATAAATCTGAAAGTTCTAGGGACATAAAACTTTCATAAGTTTTCTACCAAATCTGAAAAAAAAAATGGTATAACAACAAAAATCAACAAAAAAGATGTAGTCAGTCCAAGTCAATCTCGGATGCACTCCTCGCACAAAGTTGATTTTTCGGACAAGTTTGATACATCGATTCGGATTTAGGAGCACGTCACGTAGCGAGAAAATTTCGATCGAAATAATAATCCCTAAAACTTTCATAGAAAAACAAAAGATTATTTTGTGCTTCAACTCAGGCATATAATCGCTTTGTGCTTGTCTGCTTAGCCACCTGTATTTAGTCAGATTGGCAGCAGCTTAATCCGTCGGCTAAATTAGTACCAGCGAAACTTGCTGGTCATATTGTTGACGGCCTGAATCTGCAGCTCCAGGTCACGGATCTGCCTGCGCTTCGCCGCCGCGAGCACGAGCTCCTCGGCGCGCGCGTCCTTCTCCTCCTCCGCCGCGAGCAGCCGCGCCTCGGCGTCGTCGGCCCGGGCCTCGGCATCCCGCCTCCGCGCCTCCACCGCCGCCCGCTCCGCCACGGCCACGGCCAGCGCGCGCTCCAGGGTGCCCACCTCCTCCTCCAGGTTCGCCGCCGCCTCCCCCACCAGCAGCCTCCGCCGCAGCAGCGCCGCCGTGCCCTCCTCGCCGGCGTCGTCCTCCGCCGCCGCCGCCGCCGACGCCGCGCCGCCCCTGAGCGAGGCCAGCACCGACGAGAAGCATGACAGCGGCATGTTTTTGAGTCGCGTTGAGAAAACGAAAATCCAAAGACGGCGGCACGTAGAGAAATTAATTACGTTGGGAAAAAGTGATGAGCCCATGGGCTTTTGATAGGCCGATTATTACGAAGGAATACGAGTCCGATTACGATGGGAAGTAAGACGAGGTGTCCCGGTCTGAATCGAATTACACCGGTCTGAATCGAATACGTTGTTTATACGCCCGAACAAAGTGAGCGAAAGTGGTTCCGAGTCGGATAGTATCGCGGAGAAAAAAAGAGTTCCGCTATACATACGATTATTTTTTATACGATGTTTGTACGATGAAACGTCTCTCCTAACATTTGTAGTGACGAAACAGATCCCTCCTTCACTGCAAAGCCCATATCCAAAGCCCAGGCTCCTCCTGACGACCTGGCCTGCTTTCTCGTTGGTCTGGTTGCACATCCAACCAAAGCAATCTTCTTTCTAATCATATCTTAAGCAATATTCTTCCTAATAATATGTTATATAGTAATTGTACTCAGCACTCATTTATCATGTGGCAGGTTAAGCAAATTACTCATACATATATGTTCCTTGCACCTTGCACTATCAAATAGAATTCCCTTCTTTGGTTCTTGTAACATAGCTTCCTCTGTTGATTGCTCATTTGAAACAAACTTCTCAATTTCTTGGTCATCTGATTCATTTTGGACCTCCTCAATAATAAAATCATCTTTGTCTGATATGGCAATATCATCTTCTACTTCATTGGTAGATAAATTGGTCTCCATTACTGAAACATGTAAATTGAAACAATGGCATGTTTTGCAAAGCAAAAATTCAGATTCATTCTATAATAAAAAAGAAGCATTTCATGGCCATGGACATTACCCAGGACCAAAAAAGAAAGAGAGGGAGACTAGTGTACCAAAAAAGATGATTGCGAAGCTAAAGGAATTCAGGCAAATAAGATGGCATACCTATGTCTTCGTATGCCGTATGCTCTCTGGATTAAATGCAGAATTGCAGATGCGCTGATAACATGGAATAGGGAAAGTCAGGTTTAGGGTTTAACAAAGGAAGATGTAAAGTTAGATGCAAAGAGGCTAATTGGGCTTTAGGGCCCATGACGCTCTTGACTGCCGTGTGCGCATGCGCCGTGCGCTTGAGTTAGGTTCCCTGCCGTCGGCGTTGTTACGTTTGATGGTACCAATATCGTACAAAAAATTCGTATGCGTAGCATTTTCCAGAAAAAAATTGAAAATATTTTTTAGTTTGGACGCGGATAGGCGCGGCTGCCATGCTTGGGCCGGGCGGCTGGGCCGAGAGGGAAAGAGGGAGGGAGGCCCGGGAGAGAGAGAGGAGAGGAAGAAGAGAGGGAGGGAAGAGAGACTTGGGCCGCGGGCCGAGGGAGAGGAGGGGGACTTTGGGCCGGACTGGGCCCAAAGGAGGAAGGAGGGTTTATTTTTAGTTTTTCTTTTTAATAAACTCTAATAATTGTTTTTTTTCTTAATAACTATTTTCCGTGCTCTGAAAATACAAGTAAAATTTGAGGGCACCTTTTAGACCAAGGAGGATTTAACGGAAATTCTCCGGGCAACACGAATTTTTCTTGTATGTATTTTAGTGTTTGTCAATTTCTTTTCGAATTTTAATTAATTCTATTATTCCTTTTAGAGAATGATTTTTAATTCGGGATGAATTTATCAGGACGTGACATTGGTGATAAGGTGGAGGAGAGAAGTTAGGAGAGAGAGAGAATGAGCCACCCCCTTATGGCATAGCTTGTGTGCTTCAATTGTGCATATTGATATGACAGAAGAAAGTGATAGTTTTAGATGGAACTTTCATCAAAATGGTCAATTCACAGTTTGATCTATGTATTTAGCTTTAATAATAATGGTTATATTGAGAGGAATAAGATTAATTGGAAACTTAAGATGCCTCTCAAGATTAAGATTTTTACGTGGTATCTACTTAAAGGAATTGTGTTAACTAAGGATAATTTGGCTAGGAGGAATTGAAATGGTAGTTTAAGATGTTTTTTTATAAAAAATGAAACCATCTACCATCTATTCTTCGATTGCTATTTTTCGAGATTTCTTTGGAGTTACTTTGGTTTACATCCTCCACAAAGTATATCTCATATGTTTGGGAATTGGCTTGTTGGTGTTGATAAAAAAATTAAGAATCTTATTCTTGTTGGAGCATCCGCTTTATGTTGGGTTCTTTGGCTTAGTAGGAATGACATGGTTTTTGATATATCACCATCAAAATTTTATTTGCAGGTACTTTTCAGGGCAACGTAATTGCTCCATTGTTGGGCTTAATTATAAAGGTGTGAAGAAGATATCAGCTTAATTAATGATGGCATGTCGTAAACTTGAGTCAACGATTATGCAACTCTTTGTTAACTTTGGATGGAGGTTCTCAAATAGAATTAAATAGTTGTGGGATCTTTATCTTGTGTCAGTATATATTAGTTGTGCTTGTTTGAAATTTTCATTGGACTCACTATGTGAGTTTGCTATTGTGTGAACTATGTAATAATTGGTTGTAGCTCGTTTGAGCAAATGCCGGGATATTTTATTCCATTATCAAAAAAAGGGGGCAATCTCTATATAATCTCTAAGAAAAGTGCAATATGTTGCACTTGCTATCTTTTAATTAATGAGAAGATGACATGACTTAAATTAGATGTGGTATTTACATCTACTACAAAACTTGTCCTAAGTACTGCACATGAACCAACCCGGGGTATTGAAGTAATAAAATTTATTGTTTTGCAGACAGGTGGTAGGCATTGATGGTAGGCAAGAAGGTAGAAGTTGGTTTATTTTGGGACAAACTTCAATCTCTATAAGTTGTTTTATTTCGGGATAGAGGGAGTAGCACCGTACAAGATGACCTGGGTATGCAGACTTATTAATTAACAAAGTAAAACACGTTAGTGTGGGCATGTCGGATCGTCGCGCGCACACGCGTAAATTTATGATAACATGATAGCCGGCAGGTAGATCCAAAATATAGGAAGGAGCATGTCTAAAATAATTAGCCATGGATGGCGCGCAAGGTAGCTGCTTCATTAATTCAGTTGCGCACCCAGATCATGTCGTCCTGAGGCAGGAAGTGGCAGATGGCCACGCTCCCGGGCGCCACGCCGAGCCTCTTGTATGCCTCCGCCACCGCGCCGTGCCCGTCCACGTCCCCGTGGCACGCGGCCACCGCCTGCGCCCTTGAGCCCGTGCAACCCGAACACGGCGTACGCGTACGGCATCCCGTGGCATGCCACCATGTCGCCGCCGGGCACCGCCACGGGCCTCACGGCCTCCACCCTGTACGCCTGCCTCGGCGTCGGCGTCAACGTGCTGATCACCTCCGTGGACACGGCGTGGACGTCGCGGGTGCCGAGGCTGGACGCGACGAACTCGACCATGGACTCGAGCGACGTGGCGCAGTAGTGCTTGTGCTTGGTCGTCTCGCCGGCGAGCCGCGCGGCCTCGCACTCGGCGAGCGTGGACCACATGGCGTCGGCGGTCGGCGAGACGGCCGGGATGGAGAGCTGGGAGAGGATCTCCGGGAGCCTTTCGGAGGCGAACGGGACGGACTCGGCGCGGCCGCGGGGGAGCAGCGCGGCGCCGGCGGTGGCGCGGGTGAAGTGGAGCGTCATCTTGGAGCCCGGGAAGAGGTCCTTCTCGAGGAAGAACACGTTGCCCACCGTGTCCTCCTTCGAAGCTGAGCCCACTGAGCTCGCTGGGCTGATGAGGTCGCGAATGGCGCCGGGCATCGGCGAGGTCGGGAGCGCGATCTTCCAGTACATCTCCGCCGGCGACGCGGCATGGCTGGCTCCCGCGGCGGCGACCTAAATTGCAGTCAGAAACAAGTTGAATTGAAAACAATCAGAGCCAAAAGTTGCAACTAGAATAAGTAAAAATTGTATTATGTTCAATCTCTAAATAATATATCTCTCTCTCCCAACTTAATTTATCTCTGTTCTAGCTCAAAACTACTAAACCATACAAAGAGCGATATATATGTGCTTCTGCTCACCAAAAGGAGTAGGACAGCAGCGAGTGACCTAGCCATGCTAATTAACGAGCTATCAAGGACACAAGTATATGATCTAATTCACTGATAAGAGTGAAACTGAGCACAAGCAGTTCATAGCTTTTGGGAGCTATTTATGGAGGGATGCTGGAAGAATACGAACAAATAATACATTGCATTGGCCCCACTGGATTATGCAGAACAAAACAAATATGTCATGTAGGAAAGATGCTATATCGCATTCACGATCATGCCGGATACCTCTATTATTGAGCAACTAAGAAGTTAGCCCGCATGCATCCTAGGCTGCATTTGAGACATTTATAAGTAATAGGTTGATTGTGTTAAAATGTCGTATTTGTTACTATATAGCAAAATATAGGTATATGGATTTTATATCATCGGTTTGATTATAAACAGAGCAATAGTTAGATTAGAAATCAGACCTGGAGCTTATAATTGTAAACTATTTCTCTTTTAGTAATACAAAATAGCAACGGAAGAGGAATGAAAAGCGTAGAGCTCGAGCCAAAGAGGGAAGGAGTAGGTGTGTAGTGATGGGCACAGGTGAGGGTAATGTGGAGGGGATTTTTTCTTTGTAATTTTTCCAAGTGATTGAAGTGAAAGACAATTATTAGATGCTATTTTCCTAGGATTTGTAAGATTTTTTTTAAAGATGTGATACAAATCCTAGAAAAGTAACATCTAATAATTGGTTTTCACTTAAATCACTTAGAAAAATTACAAAAAATGAATCCCCTCCACATCACGCTCGCATGCGTCTATCACTACACACCGGCCTACTCCTTCATTTCCTCTCTAGCTCGCGAGCTCTACGCTTCTCATTTCTCTCCCCTTCCTATTTTATACTCCCTCCATCCCATAATATAAGGCATGGTCAAACTTGGCACAGTCTTTAAAAGATTAAATCTTTGACTTAAATTTCTCATATACTATAAGGTTTATTGCAACAAAATTATAACCATCTTAAAGTAAATTTAAATATCAATCTAATGATATTAATTTCAACAAACAAAACTTAATTTATATTGTAATAGTTGTTGGTCAAATGTTTTTAAAGTTGAATATTGGAATGTGTGCATGCCTTATATTATGGGATAGAGGGAGTATAACTAAAAGAAAAATAATCTATATTATAAGCTCCATGTCTGATTTTTAATCTAACTATTGCTCTGTTTATAATCAAATCAACGATATAAGATACATATGTCTATATTTTGCTATATAACAAATACAAAATTTAACACAATCTTTTCGGGAGTATTGTGTACAGCCGTGCAACATCGTCGTAGTTTATATATTTCACCGGACAAGATGCATGGATGAATCTTACATGCAGACTTATTAACATGCTGCCACACGTATAGTGGCATGTCGATCGATCGGGCCGTCGCACACACATATATGCATGATAAGACATGATACGCACATAGCTCCAAATTGTAGGAAGGAGCTAGCTTTGAGATCACACAATTTTTATCCCCTTTCACGCGCGCGCGCTCAGTTGCGCACCCAGAGCATGTCGTCCTGTGGCAGGAAGTGGCACACCGGCACGCTCCCGGGCGCCACGCCGAGCCTCTTGTACGCCTCCGCCACCCTGGGCGCCGCGTCGGTGTGGCACGCCGCGAGCGCCTCCGCCTTGGTCCCGTCGGCGCCGGCCAGCGTCACCGTGTACGCCGCCGCCGTGGTCGTGTGGCACCCGAACACGGCGTACGCGTAGGCCATGCCGTGGCACGCCACCATGTCGCCGCCGGACACCGGCACGGGCCTCACGGCCTCCACCCTGTACGCCTGCCTCGGCGTCGGCCCTGCCCTGTCGACCTCCGTGGACACGGCGTGCACGTCGCGGGTGCCGAGGCTGGACGCGGCGAACTCCACCATGGACTCGAGCGACGTCGCGCAGCGCTTGGCCTCACCGGCCTGCGGCGCGGCCTCGCACTCGGCGAGGGTGGACCTCATGGCGTCGGCGGCCGGGGAGCCGGCGGGGACGGAGAGCTGGGAGAGGATCTCCGGGAGCTTTTCGGAGGCGAACGGGACGGAGTCGGCGCGGCCGCGGGGCAACAGCGCGGCGCCGGCGGTGGCGCGGGTGAAGTGGAGCGTCATCTTGGAGCCCGGGAAGAGGTCCTTCTCGAGGAAGAACACGTTGTTCACCGTGTCCTCCTTCGAAGCTGAGGCCGCTGAGCTCACTGGGTTGATGAGGTCGCGAATGGCGCCGGGCATCGGCAAGGTCGGGAGCGCGATCTTCCAGTACAGCTCCGCCGGCGACGCGGCATGTCGGATGCCTCATGCCTCTATTATTGAGCAGAGGCTGATAGTGTAACAACAATAATCATAGTGTGGCCTGGGGTTACCCGACTCCCTATCGGTATTCTTTGAATGATCCAACATGCATGTCTATTTCTAGTAAATTTATGGATTCGCCAATAGAGCAATTTTAGTTTGGCTCAGTTCTATCGATGGATGAGTCCATGAGAAGTTAGTTTTTTTTACAAGCTGTTCAAATAGTTATGAATGTTTTTTTTTTCAAAAAATTACAGAAGTATGTTATTAATTGTATCGCATGTTTATTGAAAAACACGCATGATCAAATTCAATATATGCATGGTGTAAAAAAAACAAATCAAATAGTAAAAGTTACCATATATAGTTCCACAATTCAATTTTTTTCTCGATATAGATATTGAATTTGAACTTGTATTAAAAGACATATATAACAGGCTGCCATAGGCAACAAATTAAATGAATCACAAGGAACACTCGACGAATACAATCCCTGTCAGTATTTGTTATGGCCACAGATAAATCCGCAAGCACACAAACCGATATAGCATTTCATCTCAGAGTATTGCAAGTGTATTGAATCACAGGAAACGTATGTTTATAATCCAACAAATATGATTTTTCTAAGGACAACAATTAAATGATAGGCTTAAGAGAGATAGGATTTGATGAGGACATCCCAGCTACACTTGACGTAAACAAGGGTGATGGTTTACGTCATACATCACATTAAGAAAATGAAGATGACATAAACCAAGTTGATAGATTACGTCTCAGCAAGAATGATCAAGCTTATCATGATCTAATTACGCACAGCCGTGCTAGGAAAATACAACAAGAGGTGAACTCGCTCTTTGCTCAACTTAACCCAAATTTTAGTGAGAATTTTATACTACCTAAATGCTCTACCTTTGTATTGCTAAGGTTTACACCCGAGGACATCATCACTACACCAAGGAAGATGGGTTACGTTGAGGACGACAAGGATTACGCCGAGGAGGATTCAGCCCATTCCCAACCAGCAGCTTTTTACACCAACAAGAAGATGGTTTACGCTGCAACGGCTCAACTTCCAAGGCTTATGCGACCCAGCCAATCAAGAGACGGGAAGCATGGAATACATGATTGGAAAGAGGGACAAGTATAGTTTCGAACGCATCAAACCCCACCTCAATATCATTCTCCAATCAAAAGTTATGGCATTTTTACTGAAGGCTGCGCAGGAGCTGTAGGGCTGTGTGCAAACCCGAGAAAACTCTTTGCATTCTCATTTTTGTTAGCCTTGACCACCAGAACGTGGCTTCTTATGTTCACACCTTAGCTAGGAGGGATGTTCCTAGTATAAATACCCCTCTACTCCATCCATTAGACAACTTTTGTTCAATTGAAAACCTCATATATGAGAGATTCCTGAAGACTGCATAAGTGTCTTACCCCTTTGTTCTTGTGAGTTCTTTTGGACTTGCGAGAAGGCTCCTCTGGTGCCCCCTAGTTCGTGCTCTACGGCTTCTAGTTCAGCTGCACCATATTGTGTGGATTAGTCCCGGATTGTGGTTCTGTGATTGCTCGGTTTGACGGGTCGGAGTCCAGGGGGCTTCGGATCATTCTCACCCTCACCACTTGGTCGCATCCAACCTTGGTAGGTATAAAGCTAGTTATTCCGGATCGTGGTTCTATGATTGCTCGGTGTGACGGATCGGAGTCCGGGAGGCTTCGGATTGTTCTCACCCTCACCACTTCATCGCATCCGACCTTGGTAGGTATAAAGATAGTTATCCTCTTGCTGCTCGTAGCTAGTTACCCTCTTGTGTTTCGGTTTACGCCGGCACTCTGTCTTGAACCTACTGCTGTGAAGATCGGGCCACCCCTCGCGAGTGTGTTCGTATCAGGATTCCTATATGTAAATAATCTTAGTTAAGTTAAGGTAAAACTCTATTAGTTTCTTCGAGCAACGGTTCACTCCTGGTCTACCAAGGGACTCCAGCATGTATCTCTATGATGTACCCGAACGTGAAGGATTAAGAAAGACGGACATGATTGTCACCACATGTTGGCTGTTGCCTACGTTTGCATTCCATGGAGCACACAATAAATGAAGGTAACTTCTAACCTAGACAACACCTCTACAACATTGATTACAACTCGGCCAAGAACTTTCTTCTTTATCTACAATCTTAGTACTAGAGCACTTAGTATAAATACTAAGCGATGAACCTGTCGCAAAGATAAAAATATATCATACTTAAATAAGAAAAGTAAATACCAAAGAAAATCATGAATACTTACTTATATAAAAGACAAAATCGTCGAGGTACAAGATAGGAGAGAGTGCCGACATCTCCGGCAATCCTCCAGTACACCCCATGGAGAGAATGTCGACATCTCCAGCACTCCTCCAAAACTCGGAGAGAACTCCGATATTTTGGGCACTTCTTTCGGAGCTTCCCCTCATTCTCTTCCTATATTCTAACTCTACTATAGAGTAGGCTAAATATAAAAGTGAGTTGTACTCAACTTTCTGGTGTTTTGAGAGTGGGAACTTCTCCTCCTTATGTAGCCTGGGAATCAAGCATAACCGCCATAGGGGAGGCCTGAGGAAGCGACATGTGGAAGCTGTGGCAGTGATCAGTCACACTCTTGGTTCGACCGAACCATGGTTCAGAGGGAATCACTTTCACCGCCTTTCTTCCTCATTTTCGCCTTAGTCATTGTCCTATGGGTCCTCATGACGGTGCATAGTAAATTGGCTTCAATTATGTTAGCTTCATATGATTAGTTGGCCCATGGATCTTCTGCTAGCGTTTGAGTGGCCGGAGGTGGTTTTCTTCGCATGGCAGGTGGTTTTCTTCCATAATTACATGCA